TGTGTGTGTGTGTGTGTGTGTGTGTGTGTGTGTGTGTGAGTGACTACACAATGGGTTTGGGTTTCACAGGTGTGTCTTGTATGGGATGGGGAATGACTGAATGACCTCTACCCTTTGTGTTTGGATGACACAGATGTGTGTGTGTGTGGACAGGGGGATGGACTCCTTTGATGTGTGTATGTGTAGGTGACTCCTTTGGTGTGTGTGTCTGTGGGTGATTCCTTTGGTATGTGTGGGTGTATGGGTGACTCCTTTGGTGTGTGTGTGTGTGTGTGTTTGACATACAATGTATGTGTTGGTTTGACACAATTGTGTGTGTATGTGTGTAGGTTTGACACAAATATGTGCTGGGGGTGACATCGATGTGTTTCTTCTTCTTTAAGTCTTTGAGCTATCGAGTCCCCCACGCCTCCCTCTCACACAGTGGTGTCTCTTCACACGCTCCCATCTGTATGTGGCCATCTATCTCCTCTCTGTTTTTGTTCGTTTTGTTTTGGGTTTTTTTGGTGTGTGTGTGTATGTTAATTTTTTTCTTCTGTTTTTCTATTTGTTTTTGTTTTTTAATTCTGTGTGTTGGTTTTGTTGCAGTCCCCCACCCTCTCCCCCACCCCTCCCCCTTCCCTCTTCTCTTTCTCTCCCCTCCATGTAAAATGTGAATAGTCCGCTGTTTGTTTGACGAATGTAGTGAACTATTCACAGTAGCTTAACACAAGCGGCGCTGTTTCCATTTGAAAAAAAAAGCATTTTTTAATGACAAATAAAACCCTAATCATACAACTGGTGTTTGAAGTTATTTGTGAGTGGTTGGCGGGTGCTCTGGTGTGGTTTTTGCTCCTTCTTTCCTGTGAAACATCTATCGTCCTTATCTCCCCTCCTTCTATTTTGTGTTTGTTACTCTCTTGTTAACGTCTCTAATCTTTGGCACTTTTATGATCATATCTGTCCCCGTCCTTTTATGCAGGAAACATTCTGATATTTTGCAAACTGAGCCCAAAAATATGAAATTATATGATTCTGTTAATTTTGAAAAGGAATGATAAAGGAAAATAATCAGAAATTATGCGAAAAATGATCAAATTTTGCTAAATTATGCGGGATGCATAAAACCACGGGGACAGTCTTATTGTGTTGAAAGTGCGGTAAAACTCTTACCACTACTAAGAAGTTATTTTATACTCTTGTTGTTGTGCAGGGGAATGGTGTGGTTTTCACTCTGCAGGGCGTGGAAGAGCGGGTGGCTGGAGGGTGCCACGGTTGTGTGTCTTATTTCTTTACTTTCCCTCTGAATGTTTCTGTCTTCATGTCCCTTTTTGGGGG